TTATAAATCTTAGTATTTTTTCTTTTTGCTCTCTCTCTCGCTCTCTCACGCTCTCTCTCTCTCTCTCTCTCTCTCTCTCTCTCTCTCTTCTATTACCTGTGCTGCCAACCGTTTACACTAGCTGGTTAGGTAGACTATTTTTTATTTTTTTCTGTCCGCCTTGTGTTTCATATGTGCTGTGGTAATTTTTCCATGCACGCCTGGACTCTCCCAGCTATAAATAGGAGCAGGTACTGCCTTTTAGAGAGGTAAGTTTCCAGCAGTCAGCTCTGACAGTCGAACCGAACATTCTTGCTGTAACACTCTCCTTTGTATATGTTTGTATTACTGTTTCTGTTAATGTATTTGTTAACTCAATTCTTCTCTTGTGTATTTATTTCTGGCCCTAACAGGTCCAAAGCAATATGTCCTGTAAGCGTCAGAATTTGTAATCCCTCTTTTCTCATTATGTACACAAGGAATTTCAATCGTCTTTTTTCGGGTGTTAAATATCTTCTATGTGCTGTACCCATTCCGCACATAGGAAATAATCTTTTGCAATCCACTAGCAGCAGTAACATCCACGACAATATAGATGGAACGGGTTGAGAGAGGAAACCCGCCCTAGCTTTTACTGAAAGTAAGAACAACTAAATTTGTCCACTTATTTAAAATCTCTTGAATAATATTGAGCTGAGATGTGTAATTTCTCTAAAATCCTTACTGTTTTCTTTCGTTCTTTCTTTTTGCACAACATTAGCTTCTATAATTCTGATATACAGAAAAGGAAGAAAGCAACGCAAAATCACTCCATCATATTGATCACAAAAGTTAAGCAACGTTGAGCCTGGTTAGCATTATATGGGCTTGAAAATACTACGTGCTACATGAATAGATATGCGGGTACTGTAAGGAATAATGATTCGGAAATGTAAATTGGAGCGCCGAGTTCCAATTTCAGTTGCGTTCGTTAGGCTAACGCGGAAATACAATTGGGAAAGATAAGAATTCACCTCTTCCCCCTAGCTATGGGTTAAATAGAATAGAACTGGTATAAGTAAGAACCCTAAATTAAAAGTAAAATTTCTTAAAATTCAAAAATATTTTCTGGCTTTAAATAATCTGAAAAAGTTTGATAAGCCGTCCAAATCATCCAAATCATTCAATCAATTTCAACCTAAGGGAATTATAGCTGATTAAAATCAAAATGTTTCTTGGAGCTTCTTCTATTTAAGATAATCCAATAGTGAATTCAACCATTTAAGATAATCCAATTAGTGGCGTCTACTATTTAAGATAATCCCATAGTGGGTTTCGGTTTAAGATAATCCAATGGTGATGTCTGCCATTCAAGATAATCCACTAGTGGTGTCTACTATTAAAGATAATCCCATAGTGGGTTTCGGTTTAAGATAATCCAGTCCATTCAAGATTCTTCTACTTTAAGATAATCCAATAGTGGAGTTTAATTTCAATCCCATAGTGGGTTTTTAAGATAATAATCCACTAGTGGTGTCTAACTGATGTTTTCCAAAGATAATAATCCTACTAGTTAAGATTCCAATAGTGGTTTACTATTTAAGATAATCCGGTTTAAGATAATAGTGATGTCTTCCATTCAAGATAATCCACTAGTGGTGTCTACTATTTAAGATAATCCCATAGTGGGTTTCGGTTTAAGATAATCCAATAGTGATGTCTTCCATTCAAGATAATCCACTAGTGGTGTCTACTATTAAAGATAATCCCATAGTGGGTTTCGGTTTAAGATAATCCAATAGTGATGTCTTCCATTCAAGATAATCCACTAGTGGTGTTTTTTAAGTTAACGAGCTATTTAAAAAAGGTTAACAGGTGTCATACCCTGAAAATTTTAATGGAGTATAAGGAATAAGCTGATGTTGAGGAAAATTTAATATTGTCGATTGAATAAACAGTCCTATAAAGCTTTCATTACTGTTACTGGGTTTGACAGACACTTGAAGAAGCCCAGAATGTTCGACAGGAAAGACATTTTGCGTATAACAAACAAGATGAATAGTTGTCTGAATGCGAAGTCATATAATAATCAAAAGTTTTACGCCCAAATTTAACATTCACAGAAAAGAACATGCGACTTAAAATTTTACGTACTAAGGAAAAGTAAGAAGGAATAAATTGATATTGGGTTAAACTCGTCATTAATATTAAGACTGCACTATCCCTATTTTCGCAGGAAATGATCTGACGATCGCTATCCATTATTGTTGAGATGTTGTGAGTTTCCCGCGTGTCGGTGTATGAATAAAGACAAACACAGTTGTAGAGGAAAATACTGGTATATTCATAAGAGCAATTAACAATAGAGTGATTAGTAGAACGAAGGTTGCTTAGTACGAAACAATAACCAAAGTCTATAGTCCAACGGTATGTAAAGGGTAAGCTTATCTGGACTGCTGTCACTGACGCTCTGTCCCGTCCTCTCTCTAGAGCTGACTTATATAAGAGGGACCAGTCCATTTCTAGTTAGAAGGTGGGTGCGCCCCAACAATTATTTTCACCGACGCTATGCCACGCACCCAGAGACGAACTATCATTCGATACATTTAGTAAGAAGTCAGTTCCACCTTTTTCCCAAGAACTTCTCCTTTTTGGAACCGACTCCCAAGATGATGCTTTCCCGACCACGACAATCTTAACCTCTTCAAATCTCGGGTTAACCGTTATCTTTTCCGCATATCCTCATAAACTGTCCTTCTTAATTTTATTCTTACCCTTCATACAGCAATCACCTTTCGTGATCTTTTACAATGAGTGGCTCTTAGGCCTGGTATAAGGTGAACATTAGTAAAATAAAATTAAAAAAATCTCCACGAACTAGTACAATGTTTAAAATGCTTGAACCTATTGTAAGCCATTATCAGTCAGCTAGATCACTTCTAATTGTACTCGACGGCAGCCATAAACCAGATGCAAACTTGTTCCAATTTGCAGAAACCATTTGAAGACTATCGAGATGACGCCCCTTGAAATCGAAGAAACCGTTTCAGGAGAAATCAGCCAGAGGAAATTCAAATCTCACACATTTTCTCGGCACTGGGACACTCAAAAGACGAGACTATAAGACTCAATAGGGTAAACGTCTTGGACTGGAAAAGTAAAACATGGCGGTGGAAGCGATGCAAAAAAAAAAAAAAAAACAGAAATTTTTAATTCAGGAAGACAATAAATGTACCGAACGAAAGGTATTTGAAGTAATAAATATGATGATATTAGTAATATATATATATATATATATATATATATATATATATATATATATATATATATATATATATATGTGTATGTGTGTGTGTGTGTGTGTGTGTGTGTGTGTGAAAATATATAGAAAATAGGAAGGAACTGGTTAGGTAAATAATCCAAAGTTATTTAGCATTTTAGTTATTATTTTTAAAAATAGTGCTCGATACAAAAGTAGAGCATAAATATAATCATTTATTTAAAAATATGATTCCAACTCGCGACATAAGAGATCTCATGTTTCATAACAAGAGCCGAAAACTTCAATAAAATTATTTGAATTAAATTGAGTTAAAGTAAGCTCTGTTCCATCTTCAAGCGAAATTTTTTTTTTTTGGAATAACGTATTTCTGAAATTTACGTGTTTTAATAGTTGAAATCAAAATTTCCATGGTAACAGCTAGGGCGAATTGTTTAAATTGGGTAGGCGTGTGTTGGGTGTTAATAATAAGTATCAATATAAAGTTACTTTCATGGATGTCAAGTCAGGGAAAGGTGGGGGTGTCTAAATTTGAAACGGAAGATGTATTAACCCTAGTCTGGTATGCGTGTCTATGTAGATGTATTTATTTTTTTATTTTATTTTAATATGAAAGGGATTTGTGCATATAAAAAACTGCCGTAACGTTTGTTATTTGACGACTTCATAAAGGGTTATCTTTATCGTAGGGTATTTAACTATTTATTTGGGCTATGGATTATGAAAGTTATTATATTGTATGCTTGTTCTTAGCCAATTATTCAGACCATGAATCTGATGATTGGGCTATGGATTAATCAAGTTATTATATTGTATGCTTGCTTTTAGCTAATTATTCAAACCATAACTCAATTTAATTCAAATAATTGTATTGAAGTTTTCGGCTCTTGTTTTGAAACATGAGACCTCTTATGTCGCGAGTTGGAATCATATTTTTAAATAAATAATTATATATATATATATATATATATATATATATATATATATGCGATAATTTAAAAGAGTTAATCTCCACGAAAAATGCAAAATTAATTAATCTCTAATTTGTACTAAGAGAAGAAATATCGGTGTTTTTTTTTTTGGGGGGGGGGGTAGAGACATACTAATACCTCTATGGATTATCTATTACCGAAATCTAAATATTTACAATTTATGGGTTCTACTAAATATATTTTGAACGCACTCGTATGCCATCAACTACAGATAAAATACACTGTTGCTTATTTTCATTGCTGGTAATTCTAAAATAAAATTATTTTTATATTCTTTCATATTCTTTTTTTTTTTTTGTGGGTTCAGTATTTTCCCATAGCTGGAGCCTTAACAGAAACTTAGATTTATTGGAAAGAGGTAAGCAATAACTGAACAGTGCTAATTAAGAACAAAATATATTCTGATCCATTGACAATAGAACAAGATCCATCTACCATGTAGATTAAAAAAGGGTTCAGTTAGAAATTCCCTGAAGCACTTAAAGAAGGGTAGATTATACAATAGTCGAAACGTTACGAATAAAAACAACAAAGACAATTTAGTTGAATCGTTTTTTTACGGCTTATCGACCCTTTTCTGATTATTTAAAGGCAGGAAATATTTTTTTTTTTATATTTTAAGAATTTTTTTAAAAGTAATAATGATTTAGTGATACAATTATCTCTGGGATAAGAGTTGAATTCATACGTGTAATGAACGAACCCAACTGGATTTCGAACTCTACGATTAATAATTCAACAGTTGTTATTACACCATCCGGACGTCCAAGCTTACAGCACCTGATATTCCCAAGCGTTCGCCCATCTAGATACTGACCAAGCTCGATGTTGCTTAACTTCGGGATCATACAAAAACCGGTGTTTCAACGCGATGTGGCCGTAAGCCATATCCATGCTTACAGCCCCTGATATTCCCAAGCGGTCGTCCATTTAGGTACTGACCAGGCTCAATGTTGCTTAACTCCGGTGATCATAGGGAAACCTGTGTTTCAACGCGATGTTGCTTACGGCTACATCGATGCTTACAGCGCCTGATATTCCCCAGCGGTCGCCCATTAAGGTCGCTTAACTTCGGTGATCATACGGGAACTGGTATTTCAACGTGATGTGACAGTAAACAACAAAGATGAGGAAAAAAGTATGGGTGTAAATGAATGCAGATGAGGATATTAGTCCAAAAATATGTGAAATAATGAAAACGTTTAATATGAGATCTCCAGGCAAAGGCAAATAATAATTCACTACTGTTTTAATTAACCACTTAAGTTTTTTTTTTTTTTTAATTTGAACACAGAAAATCACGCAAAGAAGTGGTTTTATACCGTATTCGCATAGGACGCACGCACATAACTCACTTCTTCCTCCTAAAAGTCGAAGATCCTCCTGAATGCATAGCATGCCAGGAGGCTTATACTGTGAAGCACTTCCTGCTTGATTGCGGTGACATGGCACATATTTGAAAATTATTTTACAACGTGAACAACTTGAAAGAACTTTTCGAAAAATCAAACTCCAATTTGATCTTGACGTTTCTTAGGAAAGTTGGACTATATAATAAAATATAATTCCAATTTGGTGTCTGATGATGAAAGGGGGAGCTTTGATACTTGCCAGGTGAGAAATTTTCAAAGAATAACGCACCTCTGAAAACAGGGATTTTTTTAAAAAAAAGCAAGACAACATCGAAAAAGAAGGAAAGGAAAGGGAGAGTCTTTTTGAAAGCATTTCAACCTTATTTAAAGAAAAAGAAAAAAAAACATAAAAACAACTGTTTGACCTTAAATGATCTCTTGTTGATCGATGGGTCGTTAAGTTTTAAACAAACAAATAAACAAATTGACAATAGTTGTCACCCATCAGTTGTATTTGACGTTTTATATACTTTCCTTCTATTTTTCTGCTGAGCAGGTTTATGTCGAAAAAAAAATGAATCCATTAATGGGTGAAAATATTCTGGTTATTTGAATTCGAACACAACTCATCGATTCCTTTTTCGGTGATTTCAACCTTTGCGCTAACCGCATCTCTTCTTTGCCAATTTCTAAAATCTGGAATATTCATATAGTTCTGATGATTCAGCATTACAAAATTGTTTGTAACAAAAAAATACGATACATTGATATTCCATAAAATATATAACATTAAAATTCCATAAAATTCAATAAAGATTACAGCAAAAGATTTTTTGGAATCACCAGCTCATAGAAAACAATCCCAATATAATATATATATATATATATATATATATATATATATATATATATATATATATATATATATATATATATATATAAGAGAGAAAATGCGAAGATACATATAAACAGTAAATTCCTTTCAATGCTACGACAGGAAAAAGAAACTTCTTTTTTTCTGTTAGTGAACTCAGAAAACTTGGAATCGTTTTGGTATAATCAAAGAACATCGTGGAATTGGATCGTCAAAGAGCAAAAGGAAATAAATCCAGGAAGAGGAGATGAAAGACGGAAAAGAGAAAGAGGCGCGAATCGAAAAGAAAGAATGGTTCTGCCATGTGATCAGCGAATAAGAGATGTCGGAATGATGATGATTGTGATCGTTAGAGTGGTGATGATGGGTTAGCAATGAACACGATTTTACACGAGGGGTTGCTGAAAAGGTCACAGCCTACCTAACTTCCTAAAGTCAGTACTTCAATTAACTAACGTCTGAATACTGGCTTCCGTGAAGAGGGTAGGGTCGGGCCTTCAGAATCAGCGCATTGCAGGCACACTATTTATTTATTCAGAACAGCTTATAAAAGATTATAGAAAAAGCGACACAGAAATCTGAAGGCGTATTAAAAAAAGAGAAAGATGCTATTCAAAAGCTAAGCAATGTATTAGGAAACATGAAGATCGCACTAGAAATAAAAATAAAAATAGTGCTAAACTGTTACGTATTAGATTATTGCAAAAATTCATGTCCAATTAAAAAGAAATTTAATTATATATTAAAGAAATACCACGTGCCAAGGACACATCAAAGCGTTGATGATTGACACAAAATTGATCACAGCAGAAAGAACGTATTAGGTTGGTACACAAATTAATGACGTAAGAATGTCGTTTTCTGACGTTAAAAAATACGTCAAAAAACGACATTATTACGTCATTATTTTTGCACCAACCTAATAAAACGTGGAGAGTTGGGTTATCAATTAACTGAAACGAAGATATCCAAAGGCGTGGAATTAGAACACTCTACACTTGCGGACAAAAAAAATGGTTTGGTTCGAAGTTCCAACAAATATCACCTGAAGATGGCCGGAGTGCACAACGGCCGAAACGTTGTGAAGATGACGACACCTGTAGTTAATGTAAACAGTTACAAAACCTAATCTCAATAAATAGAAATATACTCAATATTTAACAGTCTTTAACAATATTTTGATTGTATGTCTGTCTTCTTTAAGTTATGATTCAAAATTGCATATGAGCATAAAATATCGAAAATAATACAAGTCTTTGTACAAATGTCTCTTGTGTTGAGAAACAACGCTTTAAAATGGTAATCAACGCGACAAATGGAAGCAAATTGAGCCAGCTTGAATCGAATGCAACTGAAGTGTGAGTAACATGATAGGGGACGTTCTCAGCAAGAATCTTTACGTTAGTTGATTAGCTAGTAACAGCAATTAATCAATCAATTAGCATACACCTGACTGAATTCTCCTGTCACTTTGTCTATTCCCCGCTCTTTTGTAGATGTTGCATAATGTTGGAAGTGTTGCGTCAGCCATTTTGTTTATTAATAATAATAATAATAATAAGAAGAAGAAGAAGAAGAAGAATGTATCTAGTATTATTCATGAGTTAATATCTGTTATTTTTTTACTACTTTCTTGCATACTTATTCCAAACTTATGTTGCCACTATTTTTTTTAATTAACGCCTATGAAAATGTGGATTTGTTGCAGACAACAAAAATAAATGAGGCATGTACATATATTTTGTAGCCTACCTTCTCTTTAACCATTCTTTCATCTATATCTTCATAAAAAATCTTCATCAATTGCAGATTCACGCTTTTCTATCACTGCCAGCCTTTCAACTTTTGGGGTCATTGTCACTTAATATCCAGTATGCAAACCACACACGCATATATATATATATATATATATATATATATATATATATATATATATATATATATATATATTCATGAATTATTCATACAAAAAACAAATACAAAGGTTAATGATATAATTGGCGAGAAATCCATCGTCGCGAACAATTCAAATAATATACAAAAACCCCGAACCTGTTTATGAATGAAAAGATCCTTGTTTTTATAAATTTCTGTTGCATAAGTTCTTATTATTTTTACAAGCTTTCGTCTGTTCCTACAGACATCCTCAGGTATGGAATAGATTTTGTTCTTGTTTTTACTCTCAGTAATGAGAGGACAACGAAAATATATGTATTGTTGTAATCCGAAAATGCTATTAGAAATGAGTTATTGTTTTTGGAGCGTGCAGTCGCAACGCTAAGTTTGAATTTAAATTTTACAACAGAAATATTCCAGAATTGTTCTGGAGTTCAAGAGTCCTAAGTCTTTGCATATTTTCAGCAGTGGAAGGTTTTCTGGTAGCCGTTTGATCTGTGTTTTCATTTGCATGGAACTTCTTTATCCTCGCTGCACCCTTGATTTTTCATTGCAATCTTTTCCTCTGTTGGTGGAGATTCATTTTTGGGAAGCATACTGCTGCCATACGCGATAGGCAACAATAAACGACAGAAGAACTCATAATTGATCTCTGCATACCTCTTAAATGTTCAACGATAATTCTTCTGCCGCCAGTTAATTTAAAGACAGTTTGATGACAATACATCCTTTCATTCCCTACAATTATTTTTATTTCATGGGTGACTTTTGCAGGGATTTCACAATTAGTTTTGAATATTCCGAAATTTATTTCTAAGATATAAAAATTGTTAACATACAAAAAATTAGTTGCAACGAATCACGTACGAAAATCGGCGAAAACAAACGCGGTAATGAAAACTTAGGAATCCATAAATTCTGTAACCTGAGCTATTGAAAGTTAGACAGTTGTGTCCCTTTAATGGAAAAGGTATGACAGTGACATTCACATATATTATATATATATATATATATATATATATATTAAATGCGAATGCCACTATGTCACACTTATTTTCGATTTTTTTATGCTTTATATATATATATATATATATAGATAGATAGATAGATAGATAGATAGATAGATAGATAATCCCTAGACACGGTGGTGTAATGGATAGCGGCTGGGATTGAGGACTCAAGATAGCAGAGTTCGAATACATTACATACTGATACCCTTCGGAAAGGTATGAATCCTCTTCTTTTCTCCTTTCAGGTATTGTTAAATAGCATGACAGTCTGGTTTCTATAGCCTTCGGTGGCAACCGGTCTAGGAGAAAGTAACTCTGAATTCAAAACTGTAAGTATCCCTGACGTAGAAAGGATTGTTCGCATTGGCTTGGTGATCCCGACTATGGTTGAATGATGACAATATATAGTCCTTTGGAAATTTGACCGGCTGAGTTTTGATTTAGTTTGGTTTGTTTTACGGCATATCAATCTCAATGGGTTATTTAATGTCGACAATTTAATTTTATTTCTGGTAATATTTTTTCTTCAAAAATGTATAGCTTTATATGTATTGCTGGCAATAGTTTTTTTTTGTCTTGTTTTTTTTTTACAAATTATTTCTAGTATTAAAACATATTTTTATCCTTACATTGTATTTTAAGTCGAGTTTTGGGGCTAACTATTTACACATAGTTAGGACCCTATTAGAGGCTACTGCCCCGGGTTATGATGGACCTGGTAACACCAGTAATTAAGATGTGGTTCCACGCTCCTGAAAACCTCAGAGGCCTTGCTGTTTGACGCAGTTTATCGTCTTTCTTGTCCCAAGTATTAATTCCTGGATAATTCTTTTTAGAAATGAACGGATTAAAGAACAATGTCT